CCCCCCCACACCCCTCTAGCGGGTCGATACTCTTAAAGTGTTCTCCACCTGGCATGCACGCAAAATGCGTTCATTGCGTCGCGATATCGAAACGATATGTGTCTCGAGTCTTGAGAAAGGTGCTCGGCATCCTCAAGACGGCATCAGCGCAGGAACGAACGTTGAGGCATGCAGCGCGCGCGCGGAAACAGACAAGCGAACCGTCAACGAAAACAGTCTGACAACATTGTAACATTGCCACAACATGCGTGGTTTTGGCAAGATAACTCGCGAGTGTAAGTTTGTGTATCATACATCGTCACAGTCTTCCAAATTGTTCCTCAGCTTTCGTGAATTCATCTAATGGTGTAAGCCCATAAATAAGCTAAAAATCTTAGCGTGGTGTATTGTGGGTTTCTTATCCTGAAAACGTAAACAACAAACACACCTCACCCTCTCACACACAAACACAAACCCAACAGAAACATCTCCCATCCCATCTCTCCGGTTGAGCATTGAACTTGTAATTCATGTCAGGTGATTTTGTCGTTTTTCATTTGCCTATTGAGTAATATTGCGTACGTTAATGTAGGCATTCTATCGAAGTAGTTGTACCTTATGAAGGAAAAATTCATTCATAAGCCTCATATTAAAGATCCTAACCTCTGTCATCAAAGATGTAAAAATAATATACTTGTTTCTTGTGGGTTTTCTCATTACCAGGTCTGCGTAACAATTGACAATGGAAGAATCGTTTATCTCTGAAAAGATCTTGAAGTTTGAAACATTTGTCAACGATGTTTTGAAAGGGGATTTAAGGAGACACGAAAATCATTTGGATCAAGTCAACAGAGAAATAGCTGAGTATGTTGAACTGAGAAGTATGATCACCACTATAGAGGAAGCTGACTTTGGCCCAGATGGATTTAAGACAAAAGTTGATGTAGGTTGTAATTTTTATATGCAAGCAAATGTAGTACAACCCAACAAACTTTTTGTTGACATTGGACTTGGTAATTATGTCGAGCTAACAACTAAAGAAGCCCTGAAATTTTGTGAAATGAGGATATCTCTATTGACTAACAAAGTGAAAGTTATTCAGAGAGAATGTGCCAAAACAAAAGGCCATATTAAACTGGTATTGCATGGAATATGTGAACTAAGTAATCTTCCTTCAAATATAAACAAATAAGTACAATCAGGATGTTATTTTTAATCATATTTAATATCAGAAATACCCGTACAACATTCCCTTCAACAAAAAATTTGAGCAACACTGCACAGATTTGACACCCTTGAAGTGGGACAAAAATAATCACGATACTTGACTGTAGATGAGCTTAGTTCAAACATATCTTTACAAATTGGTTAGAGGCGTTTCTCATGCTGGTCCCTCTATTAATAGTGTCTTTTCCAAGTCATATAGATCATCTTCATCCATGTTATCCTGTAGAATTCAAATAGTTTAAGATAAGTAGTTCTGAAACATAGCTCAATGAGCACCACTGTAGGACTCTCCTTTTTGTAAGTATTTGACTTGAAATCAGTAGAATCAACTTTTCCGTAATTTCATTCAAGTTGTATGTGTTACAGGTAAAGTCCGGGTGTCAGGGAGTATCCGGATTCCCTAGTGAGAGTCCGGATTTCCTGGCCCCGGTAGGGAATGTCCGTTTGGAATGACTGAAACCGAGCATTCACTAGGCAATGCTGGTCGTGTTGGACATTCACTGAAGGCAGTCAGGGAATGTTCGAAATCGGACTTTAACTGAGGGGGGTGGCCGTAAATGTTGGGGATGAAAGTTCAGGTGTTATGGGTATGGGTCAAGGGTTATTCACTTGTTGAGGAAGCTGGGTTTGCCTTCGTGGTTGTACTTTCTGCAAGTGCACCTTGTGCCCGCTCGGCACCTGCTTGCGGTGCAGTTGCACTTGACGAAGCCCTGCCCCTCAGAGAAGTTGCTTCCCTAAGCAAAGCCCCTCAGAGAAAAGATTTTTGTACTTCTTGACCCACACCACCCACACCACACATCAGTCATTCCAAACGGACATTCCCTACCGGGGCCAGGGAATCCGGACTCTCACTTGGGAATCAGGACATTCCCTGACACCCGGACTTCACCTGTAACATATGCATGCAAAATGCAAAGACTTACCTTTAATAATCTGACTACTACCAAGGCACAACTTTTAATATCAGTAACATTCTCTTTGTATATCTTCATATCAGTCAAGCAAAAGTAATTCTTATTGACATTAGGGCAACAACTTACAAAACAAAAAGCTGTTTTAGAAAAAAGGGAAAACATTCTATTGCAGTTCTATTGCAGAAGTTATAAATAGAAAAGTGAATAACAGTAAACACCTCAGTACTGGGGGAAATCTTTAATTATAAAACAACATTATTGTGACAATAAAAGCCATTATTGTCTTTGAGATACAAGAAAAAAAAATGACAGGAAACAAAAGAATGAAGTGCATTGCACCAGCAAATTACACGCTGATTTGAAAATATAAATATTTCAAATATAACTAGAAGAGTCATGCATAAGAAGGACTCTAAAATGTACTTGCACCAATAATTGATTTAAGAAAATAAAAATAAAAACACCAAAAAAGCTATTAATTTCAAGGAAACAAGGCGCTCTTGGTTCATTATCAGAACAAACATGCATGATGCAAAAACAAACAATGTCTAGTTAGTTACCGGCTCAGCTTTGTCAGTAACATTAGTTGTCAACTTGTCTTCATTTTTCTCAGGTGCAAGTTTTTCAATTCCTTTAGAATCCATTTTCTGGTTTGCATTCTTCCCCGAGAAGAAAGAAAAGCATTAAGATTTGAAATAAGCTAACAGAAATTTTTGCTAATTGAGATAGGGAGTACTCACAGCTTTGGTGTCATCATCATCATCTTTGACAATTCTCCTCCTCTTCCAGTTTCCTTCATCATCTTCATCATCATTTAGGCAGTGTTTTTTAACTTCTTTAGGCTACAGAAAATAAGCAAAAGACGCATAAAATTTACAAACTGCATAGTAGGTGTTATTATTAATGAATAACACAAAACAGTGGACTTAAAGATTATTCCTGAGCAAAATTTCTTACCTCTGGTTCTACTTTGTTACATTGACTTTCATTCTGTTTTAATAATTGTTTAACAGGTTGGTTGTCCTGTTAATTAAAACAAATATCTCAGGAGACATTCAATTCTGTTTAAAGACTACATACAAATGGACCAAAATATGTCAAGAACCAAATGAGTTAAAGTCAATTACCTTCATGCTCATGTGAGCTACATATTTATCGAAGTGAAACCTTGACCTACAGTGCGTCTTAGCGTCAGCACTACTGCTCAAAAACCGATTGCAGCATTTACATAAGTAACCAGTCTTTTCTTCTAGGAATTCCATCCCTAAGAGAAAATTTACAACCCAACAAATTAATGAAGATTTAGCATGATTAAATATAATAATAATACCGTAGTAATAGTAACAACAAATCAAAATGAAAAAAAAAGTCATATGTATACAGTCTAAACTGAAAAAAAGGTAATCATACCAATTTCTTTGCTCGGATCAAAATTTGGTATTGAAGGATTAGCAATTGTAGAGGGCGATTTTTTAGGATGATCAACAGTCTTCTCCTCTACTTGGGGTATATCAGTCTTTTTATTATTTTGGGTTGAAGGTTTCTTCTCTTCCTCTGTTTGGAGAGGTATATCCTTCTTTTTGACATGGGTTGAAAGTTGTTGTTTCTGATCATTTAGAGCCTGAGAACATAATTTGACAGTTACAAAATAGACTTTTCAGAGGTATGAGGTTTGTAAACAAAACCTTGATGATCTTACACTGAGGTGCACTGCAGAGAGTAGATGGTAATCATAGTCTATCCTAGAGGAGAATTCTTTATCACATAGCTCACAGTTTGGGTGTAAGAAGGATTTTAATTGCTGCAGAAGATGAAAAATGAACATAGGTACTCATAAATAGGATGTCGTTTTTTAAATTACTTTAAATCTTATTTTAGTGATATTTAAAAGAAATGACTTACTTGATGACGATTGCTCTTCCGATGTGCAATTAAATTTCCGAAAAAATGAAGGTTGCACATTGTACAGTGTTCGCGAAATGATTTCGGAATTGGTTTCCCATTTCTCATTCTAACTTCTTTGATTTGATTTTGAGTCTCCTCCACCTATATATTGTAAGCTTTAGTAAACTGGGAAATGCATACATTGGAAAAATAGGATGAAGAATCAAATAAACCTCATTACCTTCATTTCTTCACGCATCTTTTCTGTTTCTTTTCTGTATTTCTCCTCACATTGGTTGAATTTAGATTGGTGATTTTTACCTTTTAGATGCCTTGCAAATTCCTGTCAGGAAAATTAAAGTGGATGAAGATCAACTTCTGGAAAGACAATAGTAGGCAAAGAATTCCTTTCACAGAATACTTACCAGTGAGCCACTCAATTTGCATGAACATATATGACAATAAAAAAAGTCAACATGAATGTCAGCATATGCTAGAGCTTCCTTCTCAATATCTTCATCATTGATCTCTTTCTTCCACTTGTCTTGATTAACTGCACCTGCAATCTTACTTTCACATCTGTGGGCAGAAAATTCTAGTAAGATAGATAAAAAATAATGGCTTTGGTATTAGAAAACTGCATTCATAATTAAAGTGCATTTAGCAATACCGTAATGGTCCGAATATAAGCCCCCAACTTTTACCTAAAACAACTCTCTAGAAACAAGAGGGGGGCTTATATGCGGGGCCTTGTTTGTATGAGTTTATATGGACCTTTTACCCCCAAAATGGGGCTTCGACAGGTAGGGGGGCTTATATGCGGGGGAGGCTTAAATTCAGACCATTACGGTAACTTTTTAAAAACAATTATCTTTAACAAACATTTACATATGCCCATAATATTTACACACAAAAGATTGAAAATACCAAACAAAAATAGGTATGTACAGAAGAAATGCAAAAGGGTCTGTTTAGTTTTGTACAAAATATGTTGTCAAGTACACAGAACAAGCAGAAACACAATCTTGGGTAGTCAAGAGAGTTAGTGTGAGCCTTATGCTAAAAAAAAATAAAAATGGAACCACATTTTGCAAATCCTCTTGAAAAATAATGAAACTTTATTTACAATGAAAATTCAAACTGTTAAGCTTAACTCACCTTGCATTTGGTTTTCTTTCATTGTTGTTCCTAGGATTAGCACCTGGATGCCCGGTATGACGTGAAAAGTTAGATTTGCGGCCATCATCAGTCTGTCCCTCTCGATTACGATAGTGCATCTACAGTGACAAAAAAAACCACATTATCAATAAGAAGAACAAATGTGCGATCCTACTTAGCATGATGCCAGGAAAGAAAACTGCTTGCATAGGGTTGAGGAACTGTAAAACGAAGAGCAGGAAATATGGGGAAAGTGGTAAGGGGCTTGAAAATTACCAAATCAGAGTAGATAACAAAAAGTAAATTGGTAGCATGACACCAAGGACATGTTTATTCTGTTTCTAAAAAAAAAGAAATGCTTTAAAAAGACAACAAAAACATTATGAGTACAGGAGCCCCATCCCAGCAAGAATATGTTTAATTTACACAACTACACTTAAGTTACATAGGAAAGCAAATAAATCTTTCTACTCTGACAATCACATTTGAGGATTGTTATTTTGATTACTTAATGTTTCATACACAAGAAAGTGAGGATGATACAAGGAATCGCATTCTTGCAAACTTTAGTTAATTTATTAAATGCTTACCTTAGTGTACGCATCTGATCTTCTATTTGGGCCCCCATGGTTCGGCCCTATGTTTGGCCTCAAACCCATAGGGCTCTGACCAAAATTTGGGTTTGGACCTTGCCCCTGACCTCCGATATTCGGATTCAAGCTCAATAATCCTCTATTAGGGCAACCTAACAAAGGCTGCAAAGTAAAATTGAGAATTATGTAAGTTACCATACTCAAAAATCAAAATGCCAATTTTAAAAACAAAATTTACCTGGTTGTGCCGCTGAGGTTGCTGCATATTGGGGAGAAGCAGACTGAGGACATTGTTGGCAACAGCCAATTGAACATTCTGCAAGGTTCCAGTTCCAGGTTGCTGTAAAAGCCCCGGCCCGGCGGGTATATTTGGAGTGGGAAGTAAACCACCTGAAGAACGATTCCCAACACCTGCTGGAGTAAAACCAGCCTCCCACGGGTTCACTCTATTCTGAACATTATTAAATAAAGCTCCATTATTATTACTAGGACCTCTTAGCAGAGAGGAATTTCCCCCTGGTCCATGAAAATTTCTGGAGTTATTAGAGCCGCCTTGAAAATTCATACTAGGTACATCTGAAAACAACAATCATTAACAAGTATTAGAACAAGAATTCCAAATTTGACAGGGGTGGATGAATTATAGAGAGAAGAAATTAAACAAGATAAAAAAATAAACAATCGTTATTCCTTCGATTATTATTATTATTTAATTTTAATTGAAGATTTACTTTTATGTGGTCTTGTGATACATAACCTTCATAACACTGTTGGACTAAATATACTTATACGGAGCTGACGTGCTCGTACAGAAGATCGAGGAGCAAATTCAATAAACTGGTCATGAGCATGAATACAATTTTTTTTAACTACACGGGAGAAACGAACAATTTTAAAACCACGTTCGACACAATGAAAGGTTTTTTATACTAAGCAATTCAACAAGCGACAACAGTAATTAATTAGGAGTCAGAACAAACAATAAAATTGCGATGTTTCATTCATTCACGAAGTAAGAATCAGAAGATTAACAATTTAACCTACCACAATTTCCTCTATCCGAAAGACAACACTACACATACACAAGAAACACCGACTACACGACCACGACACACCACCGGACCGTCCAGATGGGAATCTGAATATTGATGTGAGTTGCAGTCGTCGGGGTGAGATAAAGCGGAAATAAACAGAAATTGGTGAGTGAGCGCGCAAAGTTTGAATGGCGTTAGTTGTAACAGAAGAGATACGTATCCAGGGGCAAAAGAATTTTATTTTTAGCAGCAAGTGTCGTTACTATTCCATGTTATCACTGGCCTCTTTTGTTTTGCTAAGCGCAAAGCGTTGATATGCGTCGATAAGCTTGCGTTTAGTTAGAGGGGTGCTTGGGGTGCTAGGGGGTCCAGGAGGGGGATCACGGAGCTCCTCTGCGCCTTCTAAAAAACAGGGTGAGGGGGGGTGAGGAGGGTCAATTAGAAGGCGCTTCCGGGGAGCTCCGTAATACCCCTCCTGAGCTGTCGGGAACGTTTTTCCCCACATATACTTCGCATGGGTTTCTAAGGCGGTGAGTCTCAGGACCCCCTAGCACCCCCTAAACTAGACGCAAGCTAACACAATAAACACACAGTTCACAGGTTGACAGTTCATTGGTTGTTTGCAGGTTTCTACAGCCAATAGCATGCAAGCAGAAGCCAGGTTAGGCCGTTGTGGGTTCATGTCGTCTGGTCGTCTGTGGTCCGCAAAGCCAAAGTTTCTGTTTCAAGAAAAGGGAAAAGTCCGTAGCTTACAACTGTTTTGCCGAATGATTTTCACGATGCCTTAGATTTATTACCGACTCTCCTGTGTGGGTAAGTGTGTTTTTTTAGGTCTAATTTAAATCTTCTGCTTGTATTTGCTTGTTGTTGGTACCACAACCCTACTTTTAATTTTGCTGTCAAAATTTATATGTCTAGGCCTATTATGCCTGTTATTTAATTCAACTGCAGCAAATACTAGTGTTTCTGATTGTATGTTCTGATTGGAAGAAAAGGCTTTATGTTGCACAACCTGCTATGAGATTTTTATTTTTGATAATATTCTATATCTTTTACTTTTTTTTCACATGTCAAATGAAACTACCATTTTAGAGTGGACATGGGTGTTCATGACTAATGGCAGCGGATGGAGTCCAAAAAATATGTGATTTTGAACTGAAGCGACTCACGAAGAAGCTACAACAAAATCTGAGAAGCGACATCACTCGGTACGAAGGACTCACTGATGTCTTTAATCAATCAAGCCTTTCATTTTACTTTAATTTGTGTATATTGAGTTCAATCAAACATATTTCTAGGATATATACCAGTTCAATTTTCTGTGATCTGGAAATTGAGCTTGGGAATAAAACATTACTTGTGAACTGTTGTATTCTGCAAGCACGAGCCAAAGCATTTTATTCACAGCTCTGCTCTCTTTTTAAGCTCCATTCAAATGGATTCGAACTTGATTCAAACGCGACTGAAGAAATTAAAAGTTTGGTGAGGTATGTATTGTTTTAAAATAATTATCAATGTTCTGGATTTATTGGACTATCATTACTATAATTTCTTTTTTAGAGATATCTATGAAGAAGATGACTTAAAAGAAGTTGAATCCTTTGTGGTTCAATATCTGCAAAATATTGCTCTCAGCCCCGATTTTGATCAGTATACAACTCCTCTTTCATCACCTCTAAAGATTGATCCCGAAGGAAATGATTTTCCATCAAACCGGGAAACATATCCATCGTACTACTCAATTGTCCCTTTAGATTGGGAAAGGGAACTAGCTGAACAAGATTTTCTTATTGAGTCGTTCCAATCAATACAGCGCAAGGAAGAGTGTAAATCCAAAGCAAAGTCTCATAGGTCATCCTTTAAAAAATTATCACTTCCAAAAAGAGAGGAAAACCGTAAAAACTTATTGAAATTGAAGAAAGCCATTGAAGAAGACATTGCACTGCTACAGGAAGAACATTCCTTTCCTAGACATAAGAGTGATAAGCAGAAGCTAAAACCAATAAAGTGCATTTTGAATCCTCTGAATACTCTAGAGTTAGTTGAGACACGTAATGAATTCGGATTTTTTGATGCTGAAGATTCTTGCAATCCCTGTAATGACAGTCTTATAGATTTTCAGAGAGGAATGTCTGAAAAAAGCAAAATGAGCTCAAATGTTGAAACAGGTCCTGACTCAGGTCTTGCAACAAGTGCTGAGGATATCCCTCTTGACCATGAAAGTGGTCTGGAGATTTCCAAGTCAATCTCATCATCAGTCTCGTCAGATTGCTGTGTTTGGGACTCAAGTGCAACACCCCATCAAAGTAGCATGACTTCTTGGGTAGACAAAGCACCGCATGAAGATAATTCCTGTGTACAATCAGACTTTGTTGACCGTGTTCTCCAGGAGCTTGTTGGCAAAAGTCAGCAGGTGCAAGATAATAATCCTGGGGATTATAGCATAGAATGTCAAGGTGTAGTGAATACTCCAAAACATGGATTTTTCATTGATGCCTCTAGTTTGCTTGATGAAACAGAAATCCATGCCCAAACTTCGGCATCAGTTCAGGATCCTGATGCCTTACAGATGCCATCAGGAAACATTATTGCACCCTCTGATGAAATTCTCTGTGGGATTCCAAGGTTATTGGGTAATGTGACTATTGGGCCACTGAGGTCATGTGAAAGAGCAGAGCATTCAGTTGAAAACTCTGAGAGTAATAGTGCTGCTGTTTCTCAACCTGAAGTATTGCAAGATTTTGATTCTGAAAGTCCTGATAACTGCTCCGATCAATATGAACAAGCAAGTGAATTAGGAAACCTGAAAGCGGGAGATGAGAAACCACCATCACTTATACGAAGCAACACATTTGAGCTGGAAACAGAGGATGATCGTCTTGCAATGTTAAGGCAGGAGTATGAAAGAAGGCAAGGAAGTCTTATTTTTCAGAGACATGTTTCTCACAGTTCAGGTCCTTTGTCTGATGTGGGGTCAGACAATGATCTAAACCAGCACTGCACTTCATTAATTCTACCAGAAACTGATCCCACAATAGGTGCCGCAAGTATGTCACTATTTCCAACTCATGTAGTTGATGAAGAAATACAGACTCCAGATTCCTTAAATAGCGATTTGCTGGAGGCTAATAATCAAGACAAGCTTGAGATTGAAAAAACTGAAGAATGTGGGCATGTCGCTTTGCTTGCAGGAAATGATACTCTTAATCAAAACGTTTTTAAAAAGAGCACAGGGACTTTACCTTTGGACCTTGCAAATGAAGTTTCTAGTCCTTTGTTTACGAGAAGAAAAATAGAAGATGCTCCAATACTCTCTGGTGCAGCACCCCCTTTGTCACCAGGTAAGAAACATGAGAAAAAAGCAAAAGGTCCTCTTACAGCTTCATTTTCTTCTGCATGGGTTGTTGATATAAGTGACATCACCAATTCACCAGAAAGCCGAAGAAGAAAAGACTCATCTTTGGGATCATCTGAGCTGCAAGCCTATGAATCAAAGGATGGGAATCCTTCCTCTGACTCTAAAAGTTTATCATCAAGTTTAGGGTTTTTTGTTGACCTAAATAACCCTACAACACCCTACCACGATACTGAATATGGCGGCCCTCAGTCCATTGAGAGGAATAAAATGTCCAGACAGTCTTCAGAATCTGGAAAATCTGAAAAACAGAATGCATGTGAATTCTTTGTTGATTTGAAATCTCCATGTAAAACTGAGAAACATTCATTGACAACTTCGGAAGAAAGTCAATCAACAGAAAAAAAGTTATTTTCTATGTTCATTGATATTGGAGAAAATGTACGGCCCAAGACGAAGCCAGAGTTGACTTCAAGATCAAGAACTCCCCTCTCTCCATTTTCTACTAAGAGGAGAAATTTAGCTCAGGGCACAGAGGTGAGATCTGAAGATGTCAATGGAAAACAACATGGTCATGATGCAGAGGAGAGAGGAAGCAGCAGCTTGACATCAATCAGTGGGGTCTCATCTCAACAATCTGATTCACTCCCTGAAGCAGAACCCAAGAAGAACAGCTTTTTCATTTTTATTGACTCTGAACAATCTTCAGGAATCCAAAAAGGGTCATTTGTACCAAGAGTTTCAGTTAATCACACACTATCTAATGGAAAAGAAAAAATTGTCCCCAGGAAGCATGTCCGAGCTAACAGTATTTCCTCTATCAAAAAGTGTCCGACTACTAACACAGGCACACCCTTGGCTTTGTCATCCTCATCAAAGCATGTAAGTTCACTGTCACTCCAAAATGTTGAGATGAGCATTGATACTCATGAAATAGCCAAGCCTATGTTCGCATCATGCCATGTATCATTACCACTTAATGAATCCAATGGCGAAATGTTAAGCCAAAGTCAAGAAGTAGAAAATTCGGATTTTTCCAGCCAGTTAACAACAGGGTCCAATGAATCATCTGCCTGCTCTCTAGAAACATATTCAGTGCACACACCTGAACAATCCTCTGCAACCGACGAATTTTCATCCGAAAGAAAAGATTTGTGCCAGAGCTATAGACCCTTAAAAGAAAATAATCACGAAGATAATTTAGTCCATAACCCAAAGTGTTTTAAAGAATTTTCAACAGTGAATAGAGGCACACTATCTGAAAGAACATCTTCAAAATCTGAGGGTGCTCTTAAGACAGAGAGTAAGAACACAAAAAGTTTTGTGCGTTTGTCAGATTTAGACAAAGAGCCCATCAGCTTATCAAAGCAGAATGATACCTCAGCAGTGTCCCACAGAATGAGTAGAAGCATTCCAGAGACCTCATGGATTGAAAAAAAATCTTTAATGTCTCATTCTACTGGGGGTGGGTCTGCTGTAATGTCCAGTTCAAGTCGATCCCTTTCTCGCTTGTTTCCTCATTTGTCAATGTGCAGTGTTAACTTCGGACTTCGCAAAACATCAAGCAACTGTAGTCCATTAACAGAAGACATGGATGCTATGAGGTCATCTCAATTTTCTGACATGAGCAGTATGCAGAGCAGTGCTGGATTAGGTATATACCAAGATTATCATCTTAAAATATTTTTCGTGGCAATTGCAGTCTAATTGTTTTATATTGTTTTCAGAGTACAGCACTGAATCTACTGATATATCCTCTGATCGAGGATCTCCATCTACACAATTGGGTGATGATCTTCTAAAAATGTTTTTGGAAGAAATAAATACAGATGTTATTGTAGAAGTTGGTGGCCGAAGAATTAAAGCTCACAAGTGCATTTTGAGTTCTCGCTGTCAGTACTTTGCTGCCATATTGAGTGGTGGATGGGTCGAGAGTGCAGGCAATGTTATTTCTCTTCAAGGGTGAGCTGAAATTTTTTATGTCACATGATAAAATCTCCCACTTTAAATTAAAACTTCTTAATTGCATTGATTGCTCTGCGTTTTCCCCCTATCTAATAACTTGGTTACATTTCCTAGGTTTTCCTACACTGTAGTACATTTTGCCCTTTGCCACATTTACTGTGGCACGGGTACTATTCCTGATCAAATAAGTATTGTTGAACTGGCCAGTTTAGCTGATATGTTATCTTTGGAAGGTCTAAAAGATGTCATAATGTACACCTTAAAAGTGAAATATTGTCACTTTTTTCACAAGGTATTCTTTGTTTTCAATAACAATAATGACAATTTTTACTATGCATATTTATTTTATAACACTGTATTGTTCTACAGCCTTGTGCAGTCTGCTCTGTGGGAGTCCTTGAGTGTCTTCCTTTAGCTGCAGCATATGGGTTGGATGATATTTATCGTAAAAGTTTAAGATGGATTACAAAATATTTCGTTCGAATTTGGCCTACCAAAACCTTTACTACATTACCCCGAGAACTTGTTGAGAAATGCTACCAGCAACATGTTATTCATATGGTACTGGAAATGTCACCCTATGTATTTTATGAAATTTTGTTCTGGCGATTATCTAAATTTGACCTTCTTCCAGACGGTAGATAATGTGATGGAGACAATATTGTGTTGTGATAAACTACTTTCAACTATTCCAACTGTGCGCTGGGCTGAACCTGTATTTGTTTTGACCTCCAGACTCATGGAGACATGCATAAAATATATGTCTGACAACTTCTGTTCTGTGCTAACTTCTGACTAGTGAGTATTACTTATATATGTTTGGTCTACTTTTACTTAATATTCAAGGTCAGATCCACTCCAGAAAACTACTATACAACTAATCTTGTTTTGCACAACCCAATGTGTAGCTTCTTGGCTTTGGGAAGAGAGGTACCATGGAATGTTAGTCGATTTCAAGAAAATTTAGTGACAGCATGTGAGAGAATGCCTCCTGACCAATCTTGCCGCTCATATTCTCAACTATGCAGTGTTTTAAGTGTTGTTGAAAGACCTAATCCACCTCTGGAGATGACCTGGCATCCTGTAAGAATTTTTCAACTGGTAGTGCATTTAAACTATTTGTAAAAACGATTGCGTTACTCTAAACCCTTTGACCATTTTCTTGAACTTCTAGAACTTCATTGAGCTACTTGTTCAGTTGCGTGACTTGTCAGAACGCACATTAATTAGACAGGCAGCTCGTGCTGCTCGTACCCCTGGTTGGGGTCAGATGCCTACTGAATTGCGTCGCAAGATTCAAGATAGTGCCTGCCTTGTGTTGACTCCAGCAGATCATGCAAGTTCCCGTTACAAGGTATGTGATGTGTTTGAAATCCAAGATCCACATAACATGGTCAGTTCAGTATCCAAAATTCTTTGTCTGAAGTACTGGAACTAATTGCTTTATTTCTTTACAGAGAAATGCTAGTGAGGGGATGAGACAGAGTAGTCAACGCAGTAGTTATTCAAGAAACATTGATCTTCATCAAGTGAAAATGGCAATGGTACAGCACGCCAGACGATCCAATAGCAATGAACAGCATCATACCATTAGCTCAGTTGTTGTTCGTAAAAATGCTCCTTCAGATAGATCAAATATAGTTAGCCGTCGAAGTGTACCTGTGGTAAACAATAAACCTCCAGAAAAGTCAAATAGTGTTCCTCCACAAGGGCGACCAAAAACTTGGCCGGTAAAAACTATCTCTTCCATCTAAATTGTTGTTCTTTGCAATTCGTTTATCATCCATCTATCTTTTGTAGGTTTTATTAATTATTGTGACATTTTTTTCACAGGCTCAAGTAAAATCTCGCTATTTAGAAAAGCGACCAAATCATAGCAAGGAATCGGTGGAAGCACAGGAACGGAATAAGCAACTTGATGCTCCAATACCCCAAAGAAGAGTTCAAGGACCTGCGAAGGGTATGCTCATTTCATCTTCAGACTCCTCAAGGAACTCATCACCTGCTATGAAAAGATCAAGTCATCTATCTGGAAACAATGAAAAATCTACTGATGTAACATCAAGAGGTAGAGCTGTTACAAATCCGTCTCACTATCATACTTCCCAGAGTTCAAAGGAAGATAAAATTTCTACAAGCGCTGATACCTTGTCAAAGCATGTGTTACCTCTAAATGTCAAGAACCAAACTGAAATCTCAAAATCTCTTTCTGTATCAAGAAAAACCAAAGACTCTCTATCTGCAGAGCTATTATCAAATGACGTATGTGCTAAGCTGGAGGTTGTCAACAGCTTAACATCATCTACTCTTGGTACTCAGTCACAGAGCATCTCTATGTCAAATGATTCCCTTGCAACAGTGTCATCATGTGATGATGTACAACTAGTAAGCCATCCTGAAAAGAAACAGAAATCCAAAAGTTCCATGACTATGAAAAGTTCTTTGGCACAGAACATAGCAGCAAGTCGTACCAATGTTGTCAAGAAATCTGAAGCAAATTCACAGAGAATTATGTTAGCCAATAAAAAGGCTTCCCCTTCAGTAGCTCTTAGAAAGTTACCTGGTGCAGCATCTAAAACTAGTGAAAGCAATGTGGTGGCATCATCATCATCTTTAATGTCCAAGAGAAGCATCTCACACATGGCAAATTCAAAATCTCCTGTGCTGTCCAGCACTGGTAGTCGTTTGGCTATACCCCTTCGTACATCAAGATCTGTGTCATCAGTACCTGACAAGGGCTACACAAAGGCCAATAGCTCATCTGATGGTTTGTTATCAAGAAGAAGTATGGGTAGAGATCCGCCTCGTTCTGGCACCTCGGCAGTCTCGTCAAAACGTGCCAGTACTGGGAGTTCCGTTCTTTCGAGTTCGTCTTTAGCAGGCAGAGCATCAACATTTAAGGGGAATAAATCATTTCCCTGTGAAAGCAAAAATAGCAACTTTAAGAATAATGTCAAAGTAAATGGTGATAATTGTGCTGTCAGTAGTGTACATCCCACAGTCGGTCCACGGTCAGGGACCTTCCTGAAAGATGAACCATCTATGTTGAAAACCCCAGTCCCAGTGATAGAAAATAATTAAGAATGAAAAAAGTGATTTACTGCATATTTGACGTTTGTTTCCATTACAACTTTGATTACATTTAGTTAAATTGAGTACCTAGTTTTATACTTCATGGATCAAGGTGTTTTTTTGTGTTTTTTTTACTGTTTGATTATAGCTACCTCTAGTCATTGTTCCCCTCAAGGTATTAACTTTATGTATAGCAGTTTAATTACCTTTAAAATGTGCAGCTTGACCTTCCTGTAAGATCTGTAACTATCATAGTTTCAGAATTGGGGGCTAATTATCAATCTTATTCATTAATTCAACCACTTGCACTAATTCCACTTAATTGTTGGACATATGTGCCAACAAAAGAATCCTATTTATCGTACAAAAATGTTGAGAGTTTACTGGGTAGGTTTTTTTTTCTACTCCATCGTTATCCCTCCAAAGAACGTTGATTTAAAAAAATTAAGTTCCAATCTTTGCATTATCTAACTAGGTAATTAGGGCATAAATTGCTTAGAAGAAATACCTAAGGTGTTTGTGCTCACAAATTATTCCTTTAAGTTTTCTAATGATTTATTGTTTTATCCATTATTTTGATTTAAATTTTGTCTCAGATTGAACTGCTTTAATCTGTTGGCACAAAGTTGTTGAGCAGTAGAAGGAGCTTCCTTACAGTTCTGCTGGGCAGTCAGCTGAACTATCATGGATTGTAAGTTTCTTCCTGAAACAGGTCCCACAGCTGTCCCCATAATTATTGATGTTCCACTTAACAATGCTTGAAATTGTCCCATTGCACATGTATTGGGTACAGTGCTTCTCTGTCTCTGTAAATACTGGATTTTCACTGTTACTATTGAATAATTTGTAAGTGCTTATATTCTTGTTTCTAGTCATGTTCCAAAAAATTTCATTCCTTGTTCATTTAAGTTTAATGTTAAGCATTTCATCACATGTACTGTGAAAAAAGAGTGAGAGTTGAATACCTTGATATTATTGGTACTAATTATTTGCATTAGCCCTGTGATAAAGGGGACTTTTAGTCTTTTTCATTTGTGCTCATCTAGGTGTTCTAGATACTTACAAAATAGCTTTCCATTGAGTAGTCTGTCAAAATACCTTCAAATTTGCAGTTTTACGCCTATCATGCTTGTCTCTACCACTGATTTAATCATTTTTGTTGTTTCAAGTTATCAGAAAAGTCAAGAAGTCTCCTTATTTGTGTGTAAATTGATGAAAGTATTTGTGCAATATTATGTCTAGTTTCCATTCCTTTACTGTTTAAAAATAAATTTTACTCAAATTCCTCTTTTTGAAAGGAAAATTTACCTGTTTATTTGTGGGTCTTTTTCATTCGCCATTGTGATTTCAATCTACTAGTTCTTGCTTGAATTCACTTTGTTGTTTGCTTGTTTTTTTTTTCTCTTTACTTGGGCGTTGTCAATGTCGATACTTATTGATAAATGTGTGTTACATTACATTCCAATACAAATTACAGTCCCCTGTTTTTAATAAGCTGTGCCTTGAGATTAGCTTCTATCTATCTAAATTGACACTTCAATTGAAGAGAGCATAAAAACATTCCAAGGTTCATTACTGTTTGATGAAAACTAAAGGTACAAAGTGTAGATTGTATGTCTGCTGATGTGAGGGCCAAACATAGTTTGGTCTGTTATTATTTAGATTAAATGCTGCTGTGCATACTTAAAAAATATACCTGTATAAAAATATTCTACCTGTAGCCTTTGAGACAGACACGCAAACATTATGTGTGTTCGAATATATTTTTGTTTCTCAGGAAATCTTTCAATTGAAAATGGCGAATATTAACTGTTTATTAACAGTCTCTTAAGTTTACAACAGCTCTGAAAGATTCCATACAAATTTCTTGAGTTTAAAATATGTGTGATATACAGCTTTTGCTAACAATGTTCTTTTTGTTATTCTTTTTTCATAATAAAACCAAAGAATTTTGATATGTTGATTTATGAACATTCATCTTTTGCTGTAGTATTTACCATAGCTAGTTCTTTTGTTTGCAGTCTATGGCAGGTGGTGGTGTGTACTGCGATGGGTTAATGTCGCTTTGTATCAAAGTCAAAAATGTCTATTTTTTATGTACCATCTTAAGCGGCACAGTTTGCTCCAAATGTCTGAAGGCATAAATATAATTTTTCTTTTATTTGTGACACATTTGTTATTGTATTAGCTTAAGAAACACTTCTGTGTCCAACATAAATATGAAATATGCTTGTGGGCTTATCAATAAATATTCAGCAGATAATAATGTGGAATTAAAACCCCTTTCCTAAAGTATACACTATTCCCTTTACTTATTGTGAGCAACTACTTCACTACTTTGATTGAACGTCGGACAACTTTATTTTGGTTGAAAAACCCGCGTTTATTTAAGAAAGCGACCAACTAAGAAATAAATGAAATGATAGTCCAAAGCTGTTCGTGCCGTCTGTTTCATCAATTCGACACTAAAGATCGTATTGCTTCTTTTCATCTGATTATTACCTAAGGATAAATGTGAAGGAAATGAAAATTCGAACATTTAATGCAGCTCTATACAGGACTCGCATGTTGGTTAAATTGGTGTAAAAAATATGAAACCGTTTAGTTCCTTCTTCACAGGCAGTGGACTTTCAGGTGCCTTATGATTGGTTAAGTTCGACTACATTTTGCTTTAACCGAGTAGCGAACCCTTTGTATGGAGGTGATTCAGACACTTACGAGTGTTTGTTATCTTTGGTTTAAGAAGAACTATTCCAAAGATTACATGTGAAATGAAACATTCGTGAAGTTTAAGTGATCTATAGACATTTTCTAAATGCCGTTGCGATGCTTACTGTGTAGAGCCGATGGCGGAAGAGGGCAAATTCTCTGCAGCGAACCTGCACTAGGCCTAGTCAATCTCTCTGTCCATATATGGACTAGATAAACTTTGATGTGTAGTGCATTAAGACGCATAGGTATTGTTTGCTCTTTTCCTACTCGTATGGAGGACACCGTACGCTCTTAATTTATCCGATGTCATTATACTCGGGTATTCAACAGAATTAAGGAAATAAAACATTCACCCCCTGGTGGAAGGACCTAATCTTTGACACCATGTCAGACGAAGAAGATAAGCCTCCAGCACCACCTGTTCGACTTACTAGCAACCGGTAAGTCTTTATTTGCCACTAAACATTTACCATCATCTAATTATATCTACAGTTCAGGTTTCACTTAATAGGACTCATTCCCAAGAAGCCCTACAGAGGTTAGAAACCAATTTGGTCGCTTCTCAAAATTTCCTAACTGTTGTATTTTATTTGTTCTGAATGGTGTCCCTACTATGTTCTGTATTGTTTAGTGTTGTGGTTAAACAGTTTCTGGCCTAGTGTTGAGTATAACAGTTATTTATCATATGAGTTACTCAGCCCAACATGTTTAAATTCCACTTAAATCCCCACTTTCCTCTAGCAATTTTGTCAGCACCCTTGTCTCTGTGGCCTGTGTCAATTTACTCTCATTGCACAAGATATTTTTAAGTATTCAAATTTGTAACTTCCCAAGAAAATATTTTTGGTTGAATTTTCTAGCATTCCTAATTTTTCAACTTGCTGATCAGGGCAGTGAGTCAAACTTAATTTTCCTGCTGTGACTAACTTTCAATATTTTACACTTTTTATCTGTTTTTATAGCGGTGATGCTGCCAACAACTTGCCTGTTGACATGCGACCATTGCCCAAGGAACCAGATGCTGATGATAAAAAGAAAAAGACATTGAAAAGCAAAATGCGCAGTAAAACAAAGGGCACTGAAAGTGACAAACCAAACATATCATATCCTACAAATTTTGAACACACGGTTCATGTGGGATTTGATGCGGTTACAGGGGAGTTTACGGTAAGTACTTACTATTTATCTAAGTTAAGTTGGTCTATCTATTCTTGGAGTCCAAATGACATGGCTATATCGTCCAAGTAGAGTTCATGCGGTTTAGTATTACATAGCTTCACTATTAAGTGAACTAGTCATGAAGACACCTACTGTGTTTTGGTGTGTTTCTATCTCTCCTAAAAATGGTCATTTTGTCTAGATGTAGTTTTGATCATTCTGATGATAACAAGTATGTACCAAACAATCTATGTGTCCATCTTTTACGTATAATGGAAGAGTCAGGGAGTAAAAACTGTGACGGGAAGTCAAATTTGTAGTGACAGAAAATGCTGAAAACAGATCAACCTATCTTCCAACTGTGTTTTATCTCCTGAAATCCCCTATTAACTGTTGCTTAAAATCAATATTTAATTAATACACAATTAAATGGGCGTATTAAGATCTTTTTTCGAGTTCTGTGGATCAGATTCTTTGCTTGTCAGGTTAACACGCCGGCTTTGTTTTGCACAAGTCTTTATTCAATTTTGTCAGTTTGTTTTTTTCCCAAAATTGGTAGGCTAGCTGCTCAGGCTGCGGCTCATTATATTTTTAAGATAGTCTTTTCTGTGTTTCCTGATCATTAGTACTAAGAAAGATTATATTTCTCATTCCTACTGTACTATCATACAATTTCAAAAACTTGTGTCTCTCTTTCTTACAAGCTGCCATGTAAAGTAAGTAATGTCTAGAGATTCACTTGTTGTTTGGGACTTTCAATTATAATGCATTTTGATTTGCTTATGCTTTTCCTTGTAATGCAAAGAACAAAATTGCATTCTGATCTTTTATTTATTGTGCAAATAGGGACAAAAATTAGTTTCAACAGTAGTGTTTTCTTTGATGTAATATGTACCAGACAACTGAAGAAGTTGCTTAGCACACGAGAAAGTCCCAAGCTCAATATTTGAGCATGCTTGCCCTGCTCTTTAGCCTATTTTCTGCAATTATTATACATATATATCTGTTCCCACTGTTGGTGGTTCTCTAATTTCCACCCTAATTAATGTTTATTGACTTTGTTCTATAGGGTATGCCGGAAGCATGGGCACGTCTTCTTGTCAACTCAAATATTAGCAAACAGGAGCAGAAAAAGAATCCCCAAGCAGTTCTTGATGTTTTAAACTGGTTTGATCACTCAAGCAAGGAGGTGAAGGGTTCAAAGTACATGACAACAACAAAGATGGTTGGTAAGTGTCATTGAAAGATTTAAAGTGTACTACAGGTCATAAGCTCAGTGTAGTTTGAGTGTAACATCTCTTTTTCTCTGACAATTATCTTTATTCTCAGCAACTGTTGATCTAGGAATTATTCCAAGACCCAGCTTACCAAATCAAAACACTCGACAACAGGAAGTTTCGCATTCATCGTCTCATTCGTCCCATTCATGTGGACATCCATCTTCTTCTAGCCCAACTAGCTCAAGTACCCCTGATACAGAAGGTGGAACTATTCCATCAACAGGTACAGGTACTGGAACAGGCACAGGGAGTGAGCACGAAGAGGAACCTCCACCTCCTCCCATAGCAGCTCGTCCAGAACGTACCAAATCAATTGTAAGGTTGATGATTGCTCTTGTTTTTATTTATGTGTATCTTGGCCTACATGTTCCCATTTTGTTTTAGTACACAAAACCTATTGAAGTTGACTCTCAACAGTCACTTCGTTCAACAACTGCCACCACTAACGGTTCTGCAACTCTGGACAAAAATAAAAATGTCAATAACATTGTAGCTGCAGTCCCCGTTAACAATGCAGGAACAACTGATCCCAGATCTCCTGGTGATAAGAGCAGAAAAAAGAAAATGTCTGATGAGGAAATTTTGGAAAGATTAAGAACTATAGTCAGTGTTGGTGACCCAAATCGAAAGTACACAAAAATGGAGAAGATAGGGCAAGGGTGAGATTTTCTTATTTCTCATTAATCATTTTGCTTAGGCACTCTCATATTCGATACTCATTCTTCTTCATTGTTTGATTTAGGGCGTCTGGTACTGTGTACACTGCAATTGAAACATCAACTGGTATGGAGGTGGCTATTAAACAGATGAATCTATCACAGCAACCTAAGAAAGAACTTATCATTAATGAAATTCTCGTCATGCGGGAGAACAAACACCCCAATGTTGTAAACTATTTAGATAGCTATCTAGTTGGAGAGGAGTTATGGGTGAGAAAAATAAATAAGCTTATTATTAATCTTCCCCCC